CATTCAAACCAGTAGAAGGTACTCTGTTGATCACATATACTGCAGCTTGAACACACAAACCCCAAAATCTATCTGGAAAACCAGCCTGAAACTTAATAGCTCTTGCTGTCTCTAGAATGTGTCTATGTTTTCTTTCCACTACACCGTTCTGTTGAGGTGTATATGGACAAGAACTTTCATGGATAACACCATATAACTGGAAAAGTTCATTGCAATTGTAATTGAAAAATTCAGAACCATTATCTGTCCTTATCTTCTGAATCCTTTTGCCAAACTAAGTTTCAACTTCTGTAAAGAAATGTTTTAACAAACTAACAACATCTGATTTCAATCTCATTAAAAAAATCCATGTCCATCTTGAATAGTCATCAACAACAGTAAGAAAGTACCTCATGCCATCAAAAGTTTCAACTCTATAGGGTCCCCAAACATCTAAGTGAACCAGCTGGAAAATACTTGTTGATCTACTAGTACTGTTAGGAAAAGGCAGTCTAGTTTGTCTAGTAAGTGGACAAATTTCACAATTATGTAATGCAAATTTACTACCAAACTTATTGAAAATGGGAATCTTCCTGATTACACTCATAGGCACATGACATAATCTTTGATGCCAAACAGTAGCATTATCTTCAGTATCTTGTACTGCTGTTAAGCATCTCTGAGGCATATCTGCTACTTGTGTATCTACCATGTATAGTCCATCCCTTTCTTTACCAGTCACCCTCACCTTCCCAGATGAGAGATCCTGAAAAACACAGTAATGAGGAAAGAAGGTGACACAGCAATTCAAATCTTTTGTCACTTTTGAAATAGACATAAGATTGAATTTGAAGTCTGGAATGCACAACACTTGTCTAAGCATGTCACCTTTTTCTATAGGACAATTTCCAATATGAGAAACCTTTGCAGACTCTCCAGTAGGTAACTGAACACTACCTGCATTTTCTATCAGTCTTTCACAATGTAAATGCTTAGCATCATTTATCATATGATGAGTAGCACCGGTATCAACTACCCACTATATTGAAGCATCCTTAGATAAGTAAAAGTTACCTGCCATATTAGCTGCACAATGTGTATCACCAACTGTTGTTTGATTCAACATTTGAATAAGTTTCTGATGTTGTTGTGGTGTAAACATTGGCATTGGTATCATCTCAGATGCTGCAGCTGGATGAGACTCTTTTTGAGTAGGTTGTAGAGCATGATGATGGATTGATGATTCTTCATAGACTGAGTTCCCTGCAACAACTGAGTCTCTCTTTCCTTTGAACTCTGAGGGATATCCAATAAGCTTGAAACAATCAAGTTTTACATGCCCAGTTTTGTGACAATGATCACACTTCAATAATTTGTTACAATCACTTCTCATATGTCCCTTCATGTGACAATATTCACAGAAAACATTAGGATTGTATGGCTTCCTATTCCTAGAATTAGATCTTGATGTATACATTGCAGTAGGATTTGAACTCTCTGACATTGATCTACTTAAATTTGCTGCTAGTTTTTGACTTTCATCTTGACTTATCATGGCATAAACCTGATTAATACTAGGAAGTTGATGCATCAACAGGATCTGACTACGAGCTTGAGCATAACCATCATTAAGTCCCATAAGGAATTGCAACATCCTCTGATATTAAAG